CTGCTTAGTTATGTATGTATGTAACCACTCATACATACAGTTGGGCATGAATGATGGTCCAGGTCTTTAATTCCAATACTCAGAAGGCAAAGCCAAGATGATCCCTTTGAGCTGTAGGCCAGCCTGATCTACACTGTAGTTTCAGGCCAACCAGGGGCTACACAGTGACCCCCCTGTCAGGGGTGGCGAGTAGGGAGAGACAAGGACTCATGGACCAAATAAAAATTATACTATGAAAAAAGCCGGGCTGGAGAGATGGCTCAGAGGTTAAGAGCGCTGACTGCTCTTCCAGAGGTCCTGAGTTCAATTCCCAGCAACCACATGGTGGCTCACAACCATCTGTAACGAGATCTGGTGCCCTCTTCTGGCCAACAAGCATACAGACAGAACACTGTATACATAATAAATAAATAAATCTTTAAAAAAAAAAAGCCATCTTGAGGCTGGAGAGATGGCTCAGAGGTTAAGAGCCCAGGCTGCTCTCCTAGAGGTCCTGAGTTCAATTCCCTGCAACCACTTGGTGGCTTACTACCATTTGTAATGAGATCTGGTGCCCTCTTCTGGCATGTATGATTATACATGCAGCCAGAATACTGCATACATAATAAATAAACAAATCTTAAAAAAAAATGCCATCTCATCTGCGTTAGGAGGAGTCCAGATGCCATTCTTTTGAAACATCATTGCTGTGATGAAGTAATCAAATGATCTACTTTGAGAAAACAATAAACCAGGAAGTGATAAGACTACGTTCTGGAAATTGCTAGAATATAACCCAGTGAAGTCATCACACCAGTCATAAGATCTGCATTCTCGCTCAACCTGCACGTCAAAATGTCTGACTCAGGACTTACTCTGCTTGGTGAAACAAGGTCCAACTCATGAGGCCTAAGAAGAATAAAGTACTATGTAAAAAGGACATTTTCTAAACTTTAATCCATTTCAAATTAAAATCTACCAACTCTTTATTCTAAATAGTAGACACAGTGCTGAGGAAATCGAAGCTGGGGACTTTTGGTTCGCGCTAGGCAAACCAGAAAATTTCCCAACGTTTCGTTCAGTTCTATGTTAAAAACTAGTGAACCTTTACAGAGTGAAGGTTACTTAATTTAACACAGCTAGAGGTCTTACTGAAAGGTGGTTGGCAGCCGGGGCAAACAAAGCTGTTTTCAAGGTTATTTACGTGGCCACCCTCGTGACTCCGCACGACGTCGCGATCCACGCAGCCCTGCTTGCTCCTTGTTTATCTCGATGAGGGAAAAACGGCCACACCCAGGATGTCTGAACCCAATCCTGAGGTTCTAGGATTAAACTGCTCCTTCCCCTTCCTTTGTACAATAGGCACCCCCAATTAGAGAGGTGGGTGAACCCTGGGTATTGAGTCTAATAAGCAAGTGCCCCCCTTCCTTCCATTGTTTAAAGACTACTGAGGAGGAAGAGAATCTGCCCGGCCGGGTCTCTAACAGAGCCCTCAGCCTCCAGCCCCGCTGACGCTCAACTCCCCCGTCTGAGCCTGCGGGCGGCTAGGGATAAGACAAAGCCGCTAAGGGCTCTGGCTGCAGAAGCATCAATGTCTACCCTGCAGGGGACGGAGCGAAGGCTAACGTCCAGCAGTGCGAGCCGTGTGGGGTCGCAATTCACGCTAAAGCGTAAGCCCGCCGAGGCCACAGGGGAATGGAGGGGGGGCAGGACTCGGGACGCGGGAAGACCCCCTCCCCCACCTCAGGCAGGAAACGACGGTACTTCTCGAAAACGAGTCGCGGCGCAGGCGCACCCGGTTACTTAGCAACGTCGACGTTAAACTGCCCCAGAACCGAGCCCAGCAACAATCGAGCGGCCCGTGGCCCTGACCAATCAGCGCCGCTTAATCTTTGTCGCCTCACCAATCAGCGCTGACGCAGCAAGGAAGTTTCCAGAGCTTTCGAGGGAGGCCCCTTTAACTTGAATCCATCCGCCCGATGATTTTGTCCATATTTTTGTTCAGGAGGAGAAGGGTCGCCGGAAATAAAGGGTCTTTTATTTGTTAGTGTTCTTTACTTCGGTTTTGAGGAACTGGGCCCTTGGGTGAAAAGTCTAACTGAGTGGTAGGAGGTGGTGGACGAGGGACTACTTTCGGTGGCGCAGGAAGACGACGGCTACGTAAGCGTGCTGAGTGACGCAACAGACGCTGCATAAATAGTGGCTCGCGCGGCAGCGGAGCTCAGTGACGAGAGGCATTGTGCGGCTCTGAGGTCTTCGCGTCCCGGTGTTTCGCTCGGCGTTTTCTCGTTTCATCACATTCGTTAACGGGTAATGGTCAGCGGCGCTTGAGTCGGAAGGACTAGGAGAAGGGGCTTACGTTAAGCTAGACGGGCTTTTTCTTAGGGGTGGGGGAGGGGAGGGCGAGCTGTCGTGACGCGGCAACGGGCCTTCCGGGAAGAGTGGGCCTTGTTCGCGTGCGCGGAGCGGGGGCGGCCCTGGCGCGCGCGCCAGGGAGCTTAACGGACGCCTAACCGATGGAGAGGCCATCGCGGTTATTTCAGTGGGGGAATGCAGAAAGGAGGTACTCGGCGACTCAACGGCCAGGCTTAACGCTAATTTCATTGTAGGAGCTATGTGTTTGTGTTTAAATGGGAATTTTTACTAACGGCATTGTGGTTTGGGTTTTTTTTTTTAATTCATATATCTCGGCTGTTACTGGCAGATTCGGAAGTCTTGCAGCCCGTGACGGTTCTGGACGCCAGTTTAGTGTTTTAAAATGCTTTCGCATCTTTGAACCATGACAAAACAGATTTTGTGTTGTGATGAAACGCGGGGGAGGGGTTTTCCCTAGAGGTATTTTGTGGAAGTCGAAATTCTTACAAGATATTTACAATTAACCTTTTAAATTCAAGGTCAAAATGCAAATCTTCGTGAAGACCCTGACCGGCAAGACCATCACCCTGGAGG